GGTCAAAACTTCTACTTTTGGTAACATTTGTATCATAAAATGGGCTTTTCTAATTTTTGTTATTTTAAATTGATTTTTCAGGTGATATTTTACAAGAGGATAAAGAGGGTATTTTTTGTGGATGCTGTTCCTAAATCTCCATCGGGCAAAATCCTTAGAAAGGACTTGAGAGCTAAATTAGCTGCTGGGTTTCCAAATTAAATACTACTTTATACTTTAATGGCGATCGACAATAACTATAACCAGTTCTTTTTTTCATTATTAAAAGTTACGTATTTTGTTCTTTGAATTGTATTTGTACGTTCAACCACCTGCCTCTATACGGTTAAAATTAATTAACCAATTTGGCAAAAGGAGGAAAATGTATGTAAATTTGAGTGTAAGGGACTTTAATTTTTTTCAAATCTCTTTTTCTATTGGTTTGATGTCATATTGCATTTAGTCATTTACTAGTGTAACATAAAAAAAAATTCCACCATAAATCCCGTGGATTTATTAAAACATTATAACTTTTCTTTCTAGCTTAACTTTTTTAATGACAATAGGGCCGGGTTGATTTTCTAAAATAATTATTATTTTGGACTTTTTATTTTAATAAATATGACACTCTAAAATGGATAAAGAATCATTTCAAATTAATTGAATTGTTGAAGTGTTTCACACTCTTTAAAAAAAGAGGTTAAAACATAAATTAGACATAACTTTTCATTTTTTCCCTTATTAATTTTTGTCAAATTTATGATTAAAGTAACTAACTATTAACTAATCATTAATTTCAATACGAACTAATGAAATGTAAAATTGAAAGAACAATCTAAAAGTAGTCTTGAATACTGAGCAATTAAGTTAATTCAAAAATGAAAAAGGTCTCAACAATTCAATTAATTTGAAATTGAGGAAGTATCAAATCATAGTGATAAGTTTTGACTTTTAAGTTATCGAGTTACCATAATTACTAATTACTAATATATAGAAGAGTCTAGGAACCAGTTGTTCGTCAACATGCTTGCTTCCTAGACAAGGGTAATTTGGTAAGTTACTGTATAATTCTGCTATATACTTTGCTGTGAATGCTTATACAATTTGCTTTGGAAATTGTGCATTTCATGATTTTTTTTCCTCTAATTCCTATTGTGTCCTTTTGTTGATAATTTCCTAGACAATGGTAATTTGGTAAGTTACTATCTAATTCTGCTATATACTTTGCTGTGAATGCTTATACAATTTGCTTTGGAAATTGTGTGTTTCATGATTTTTTCCCTCTAATTCCTGTAGTGTCCTTTTGTTGATAATGCAGTACTTTTTCAAAGTTTTATTTGCCCCTTCTTTTGTACCTTTTTACAATAAATCCATTGGTACACATTGATAAATATATTGAAATGTGAGGCTTTTTTCAATGCCTTAAAGGCATAAAAGTGCTGATGTTAGCACTTACTCAGACCCACACGTCCCATCAATAATATTTAGTACTATTTTTTTTTTGGTAGACATATTTAGTAGGCGTTTGGCCATGTGATACCATATTACGATATGATATCGTGAGATGAAATCAGCGTTTGGACATGCGATTTTACGTTGATTCCATATCATGAGATGTGATTCCATATTCTCCAAAAACCATGATATGGAATTATATGAGAATTTCATATCATGATTTGAGATATTTTAATATAAAAATTGATCCACGAGTTTATATTTTGTTAAAACAATCCCACATTTATATATACTAACTATTTATTTCATATGTAAATAAAATTTATAATCACATCATTACTTTTTAAAATTTATTATTCTCACCGACATAAAATTTATTATTCTCACCAACATATAGTCACTTTAACTCACACATTGTTAAAGTGATGAAATATTTATGGTCTATGAGCATGAAAATATAGTTGCGGATGATATTGACCAACAAATGGCTCAGAGTAACAATGTTGGTTCGTCTTCTCGGTCACATGATCGAGAAATGCAAGTTCAACGTGAGGAGGTTGTCCGTACTATGTGGGAGGATTATATTAAAGACTAGTACACTACAATTTATGTTCAATTTTTTTTATTAAATTAAAGTTACATGAAACAATTACTTAAGTGGTGAACAAATAATTTTGTAATAATTTATTACGGTTTTATAATTTTTTGTTTATTTGATAAAATTGAATAAACAATTGGGGCTATTTTAATAGTTTTACAACTTATGAGATTTTTATGTTTATGAGAAAATATACAACACAAAAATTCCATATCGCATGTCCAAACAAAACTTCAATTAATTCATGTCATGATTCCATTTCATGATATCATATCATGATTCCATATCATGATACCATATCGCATGGCCAAACGGGCCCTTAGTATTCATTTGTAGTTATTTTAGGCTTTCTTTGTTATTGTGTTTGAGATCATGTAGAATAAAATTAACGAATAAAATTTAATATTTCATTACAAAGGCTAAATTTAAATGATAATATGATTGTTCATTACTAATGTTAAAAAATTATCGACACTCTAAATTCTATTAATGTCACATAAATTAGGATAGAAGAAATAACATATATTATTTTAAGTTTAAATAAAAAGTACTGTAAATTATTGTAATTATAGAATTCAAATATTGAAAAATCATATAAAAAACGGAAAAAGGGTCAAAATTGCCCCCGAACTATATGAAATAGACCATTTATACCCTTCGTTACATTTTGGGATCAAAAATGCCCCTGCTGTTATCCTAAGAGACCACAAATACCCTCAAGAGTTAACACCCCAAATTTTTGTTGACGTAGCAAGCCACGTGGGACTAATCCTTCCACCTAAGCGTTGCCAACTAGGATTCACTACAAAAGAACTAGACCTTTAGCGGCAACAACAGTCGCCACAAAAGCCCAGAAAATCGTCACTAAAAGTTTTTAACATTAAATTCTAATTTTGTGTTTTTTTCTTCATTGTTTTTTAAAAACCAAATATGATATCGATTAAGTAGGAGTTTGAAGACACTATATGTTTTATTTTTATGTCATATGTAAATGTATAAAATGTACAATGATGCATTATATATATATATAGTAGGAGATTTGAATCGAGAAGTAATTTTGATTATTTTTTGTAATAATATTGGATGTTTTTAATAAGGATATTGCAAGTTATTTATTTTAGAAAATTAGGTCGCAATCGAAAATTAATTATCATATTTTTTTGTTGAAAAAATAGGTTTTACTAGCGAATGGTTGTTGGAGCCTTAGTCGCCACTAAAAATCACTCATAACCTTTAGTAGCAATATTTTGGGATTTTGTGGTGACTTTGTCGCCACTAAAAGTCAAGTTCTTTTGTAGTGAATCTTAGTTGACAATGCTTAGGTGGAGGGATTAGTCCCATGTGGCTTGCCACGTCACTAAAAAATTGGGGTGTTAACTCTTGAGGGTATTTGTGGTCTCCTGGGATAACTGCGGGGGTATTTTTGATCCCAAAATGTAATGGAGGGTATAAGTGTCTATTTCGCATAGTTCAGGGGCAATTTTGACCCTTTTCCGTATAAAAAATGATTAACTCTCTAAATTCTATCGTGCCACACAAATTAAGATAAAAGAAGAAACATATGTTATTTATAAAAATGATGTTAAAAGCACAATAGTACTATAAGTCACAATAATTAACAATTTAATTTTTAAAAAATAATATATACAACACTTAGCTGACTCTTCAAATTTCATTTGCATCACATTAATTGACCATTAATTTTGCACTTTTTTCCTTTTAATTTTGTCTTACATTTATTTTTTAGCCTGTTATATATTTGAAAATTATAGTAATAATACTTTAAATCACAATAATTAATACGTTAAAATATTTAAAATTAATATAAAAAAATCATTTGACTTTCAAAATTCTATGTGTGACACATAAAATGGGTTAGAGGAAATGACATTTATTATTTGACAATGACATAAAAAGTATATAAATCACAGTAATTAACAACTTCAAAATTTAAAAGACATAAACAAAATTGGCTAACTCTCGAAATTATATCAATACCACATAAATTGGGACATGAGAAGTAACAAAAATGATTTAAAAATTACGTAAAAGGTACTACAAATTACAATAATTAACAATTTAAAATATTTAAAAGACATAAAAATGGTTAATTTTTGAAATTATATCTATGCCACATAAATTGGGAGAACGAAATAATATATATTACTTCAAAATCGCTTAAAAAATTATAAATCACAATAATTAATAACTTAAAATATTTTTAAAAATCATATAAAATTTTGAATAACTTTTCAAGTTTCAACATGCCTGCTTGTAGCCAGAGGTAGTTTGGCAATTTAAAGTTTTCATTTTTTAAAATTTGTATTGTATCACTTTATATATATTAAAAAATTATGTAAAAAATATTATAAATCATAATAATTAATAGCTTCAAAATATTTGAAAATATATAAAAAGATTTTGTTAGCTCTCAAAATTTCATCTATACCACGTAAATTGTAATAAAGAGACAGAGATATTATATAAAATACATAAAATATATTGTAAATCACAATAATTAATAACTTAAATAACAAAAAAAAATTATAGAAAAAATGATTGACTTTTGAAACTTCATTTGTATCACATGATCAACACAAAAGGAGTACTATTTATTATATGAAAATTAAGTAAAAAATATTATAAATCACAATAATTAGCAACTTAAAAAATATCTCTCTCTCTCTCATATATATATATAATAAAAAATTGGATAACTCTAATATATAAAAACATGTTAAGAAATTGGTTAACTTCAAATTCCACATATATCACATAGATAAATTAAAACACAAAGAGTAATATATATACGGGGTATGTATCTAGTATATTTAGAGAAGTCTAAAAGTTTGAAAAACTTGTTTGGGTTTCCAATGAGACTAGACTTCTTACTACTTAAGTAACTCGTCGAGGCACTCCAATAGTTCATATATAGATATCAAATCAAATAACTCATCATTTTGATCAAATGGCAAATGAAGCTGCCTTTGATTTGTTTTGTGATGATTTTTACTTCTCATTACTTTTTGACGAAATCCAAAATGTCGAAAACTTTTCAATATCAGATGACAAATATGCTGAACAACTCCAGGATCAAGAAATAATAATGAGTTCAACAATTTTCAATCAAAACTCGACCAATTCCCCTGCAGAGGAGAGTAGTGTAGATCAACCTGAAATCGGCGAATCATCGTTAAGTTTCTGCGAGATTTGTGCAGAGAGAAAAGAAATTGATGAAATGTTCACAATTGAATCTTGCAGCCACGTTTTTTGTACTGATTGTATTAACAAGCACGTCTCAATAAAAATCCAGGACAAAATTCATGTTGTGACATGTCCTGGTGTAGCTTGCAGGGGAATTCTCGATTTCGGAACGTGCATTTCGATTATACCTAAAGATGTACGTAATAGTTGGGACGAATTGTTGTGTGAATCACTTATTCTTGCCTCGCAGAAATTCTACTGTCCATATAAAGATTGTTCGGCAATGCTAGTGAACGATTCGGATGATATAGTTAGGGAATCTGAGTGTCCTGTTTGCCGGAGATTGTTCTGCGCACAATGTTATGTACCGTGGCATTGTGGAGTTCAATGCGAAGAGTTTCGGAAAATGAATGTGGATGAAAGAAGCAGAGAAGATTTAATGGTGAAGGAATTAGCAAAGGCGAAACAGTGGACTAGATGTCCTTATTGCAGATTTTTCGTCGAGAAAACTGAGGGATGCCTGCATATGACTTGCAGGTGTGGATCACAGTTTTGTTATAAATGTGGAATAACTTGGAGAAACAATCATGCTTGTTAATGCAGTACTTTTAAGATATGTTTGATATGATGTTTACATGGTAGTTTTTTATTAAAAAGGGAAAAAATGTCTTGTTTGTTTTGTGACTTTCTAATGTCTAGTTTATTTATGTGATCTTCTTTAATCGAACTATATATTTATTCTAACTAACATTTCTGAGCACCCTGGTTATTCCAAGGACTTCATCTCAAGTAGTACATTCACTACTTGTTTGGATGGTTGTTACCAATTTTATTGTATTGTTAGTTTAAATACAAAATTTGTTGTGATTGTTATTTAAAATTTATCGTCTCGTTTAAATCTATTGTTAGATAACGACGAAACAACCCATTTTGTGAAACGACCAATTTGGTGTGATCACAAATGTTAGCTTAATATGTTATTCTATTTTTGTCTTTACTTATTATTATTTAAGTACTTCTATTTTATCCTACATTTTGAAAGTAACTCTACACCGCACTAGACATTGTAACAACAGAGAACGATACCAACCAAAAAAGGGTGTCAATGGATTTTAGGTACCTAAAAATTATCAGACTATAGCCAGGAATTTAGAAGCTTGGATTGAATCTACGTCCAGCATGGCCAATCTCCTGCACAGGTGAGCTGTAATAATCTTATAGAAGTTGCAGAAGTCAGTATCTCGGAAATTGCAACCGTCATAAGCATAATAACAGAAGCATTTGGAAAGTCTTGGGATGAATTGTGCATAGGACACAATTGAAGTGCACTTGTAGCCAAATATAATGACATGAGGTGATGAAAGATATCAAAAGGAACTGTGGGCAACTAGTAATCTCACATTAAAAGCAGAAAGCTAGTCAATTCTCATAATAACAAGAGTTGAGTTGAACTGAGATCCGAAAACCATCCACTAGTAGAATAAGCCTGAATATAGGAAAACCAAGATCAAATCTTACAGCTTCAATATCCTTAGCTTCTTATTGAGTCCCATGTCGAATGCCACAGTTGCAACAATCTTCCAGAAAATACTGATGCAAGTTAATGAAGCTTCCTTTATATCAAATGATAATATTTATTGTCTATGAATTAAAATGAACAGATAATAAGCATTGTTTCTCATCTCTCACCACTCTTATCTTGTTTGCACAAAACAGTTCCTGTGTACACATTTTATAAAATGGGGTTCTATTTTTTTGTTATTTTAAATTGATTTTTCAGGTGATATTTTATAAGAGGATAAAGAGGGTATTTTTTGTGGATGTTGTTCCTAAATCTCCATCTGGAAAAATCCTTAAGAAGGACTTGAGAGCTAAATTAGCTGCTGGATTTCCAAATTAAATACTACTTATTGCAACACTTGTTGATGATGAAGATGTGCACACGAGGCAGGACCTGCAAATATCTGTGCGATTGAACACTGAAAAACTTTAGTAGATCTTCAGGTTCATCAAGTGGATATTACACTTCCGTTCGATCCCCACTGATCCAGCCTACATTTCCGAACATAAATTCTACTGTTTCTGATCTTCTCAAGTCTCTGTCAAAGTTAAAAAGCAGACAAATCCTAAGGTACTATGCAGATATGGCATCAAAGTCCCATCAGCTGCTCGAGTAATTGCCAAGTTTTTCTAAGCTATGTTTATAACCGGCTAATCATCATATCATATATATATATATATATATATATATATGAGTATTTTGAATACAAAAATGTCATTGGCATATTAAAAAGGAATGATCTTTATACAACATAACATAAGTACTAAAGTACATACAATTTCCGAGGATCTGTTCGATCATTGGTTTAGTTAAGAGCTTTAGCTTATGTCTTCCCTGTAGTTTGGGTAATTTCTATTACCTTTTCTACCTCTTGATATTCATGATAAGAAATTTTGTTTCTTGCAAACATTCTTTGCATTCTACTGAATATATTATCTTCAGTTTTGAGATTAAGTTGTAATCCTTGGATTTTCTTTAATAATTCTCCATCGAATGTTGCTTTTAGGACATATCCCCTTTGATCTTCTTTAGTTTCAAGAATTGGTACTGAATTGTCAGTTTCCTTTTGTATTTCTTGATTCATTTAGTCAGATTCTTCTGAACTGGTTGAATATTCTTCATATAATTCTTCATAGAAGTTGTCACTTTTTATTGATGTTACAGATTCTAGATCTGAATCAATTTCTAGTCTATCAATTTTTTATATTTTTACTCTTTTCTTGTTACATTCGTAACTTTTGTGTCCTTCTTCGCTACAGTTGTAGCATTTACATTTATCTGATGTACTTTTAAAATTATTTTTCTTTCTATAATACCGTTTTTTAGGTATATAGTTTTTTCTTGAAATATTTTTTCTTTTGATTAAGCCTTTCTTAAGTTTTTTTTTTTATAGGACTTATCATTGCATCCCCATTGGCTTGTTGCATTTGTATCTAGACAATAAATTTGGGTGTTGATTCTTTTGGCTTTTCTTGTATGCTATGAGCCATACATAGTTGTCCAAGTCTATTGTTTAGAAAATATATTCTTTGTCCAAAAGTATCTCCTTTTATGTTTTCTTTTTCATATTCTTCTCTAAAGTATTTAGCCCAAAAGCCTGGTAATTTTTGAAAATATTTTTCAAGGTATGGTAGCATTTCTTTGCTACTATCAAATATTTTGTAGTAATATTCTTCGAATTCACAGGTGTATTCTTGAATATAGCTCATTTTGCAGATTTGCAATTTTTCTAATTGTTCTTTTGCTATTATTCACAATTTTTCTCGATTTTGAGATGTGCTTCCTTCACCACCTAGGAATTCATTTCCTATGTATTGTACAAGGTTTCTTATTCCTTCTTGAAGGGAATTTTTGAATCCTTCTATGGTATGATTTTTGATGATTTCTTTTGCATCATCTGATAATCCGGTATGCCAATTGCTTACTTTACAGGTGAAAGTATTTATCGCAATGATGTATTTTTCTTCATCTATGTAATTTACTCTTTTTCCTAATAGGAAGAAAAGAAATATATTTTACGCCCATATATCTAGATCTAACTCTGGTTCTCTTTTACAATTTAGATCTAAAAATTGGGTTGATCCTACATCTCCCGTTAGGAGTCTGTTTGGCATATATTTGAATTTATTGTTATTAAAGTTTCTTTCTATATTTTCTGGTTGTAGATTTTCTTCTTTTAAGGTATGAGATCCTTCTCCTTCCTCAAACTTTCCTTGGGGTCCTCCTGTATCGCCTTTGTTCATAAGAACTTTTAATTTTTGATCTGAAAGATCAAGGTCTTCTAAAGTTATCAATAATATTCTAAGAGAAGATTTCTCACATATTCTTATAGAATATTACTCAGATGAAGGATATTACTCCGATGAAGGTTATTACCCCTAATAAAACAAATTGTTTTATGTGCAGGATGAACCCTCCTTAGATAACCAAGGGTCGAGGCAAGGGAAATAACCCACGAGGAAAGGGAAGATCATCCCTATGATCATTGTCAGGATCGTCATACGGATCCTCGTCCAACTCTCCAATATCCTGCCTTTAAATCAAATTTTGAAAATATATTGGCATCATATAATCTAGACAACAAATATTTTTTGTTGGGAATAGGATACCTAATCCACTTTAAATATTTATTCAAAGGTTTGTAATTGATAACCAATCTAGGAACACCACGTTCCCTTTCAACAACATTATTAACATAAAATGCAGTGCAAGACCAATGTGATTTCGAAGGTTTTATCAAACCCTTCTGCAACAAATTATCAATTTCCTTTTTGCAGAATTCAACCAATTCAGCATTCATCTGACAAGGACGAGATTTCGTAGGAATATCATTTTCAAAGAAATATTTTTCATAAGGAAGGGTAACAATATGCTTTTTCCAAGTCCAAAAAGCACTAGGATGATCAACACAAATATCAACAACAATTTATTCGAAAATTAGTTTAATTTTTTCCTGTACTTTGGAGGATTTCAAAGTGTCAAATATATTCATGCTACGCATTTCAAGTTGTAAAGAATCAACATGCTTTTGTTTCATATCAATTAAAACATTAATATCACGAGAAACAGGGTTAGTGATAAAAGTATAACTAATATCTCTACCTTCAGAAGTAGCTGAAAACCCTTTAGCATTTATACTAGTAAACAGATAAATGACATTTATAAAAGAAGTGTGTGTGTATATATATATATATTATACTAAAAGTGGGAAGCCACAAAAGTAAAAGTTGAAATATTATTTTACCCCTATCTTAATTCAAAATGTTATAAAATATCTGAGCAATTAAATAGTAAATAATAATTATATCATATTATATTAAATACTAAAAATGAAAAGATATTTTAAAACACATTTTAAGAATGTCTCTCCATTCTCCAACATAACTTTTGAGCTTTCTATAGAATTCTAGGCAAACTTTTGGCTTATAAATATCATGAGGTAAAATTATTATTGACGAATACATAAACTATTCGCCTTTCATAGCTCAGAAGAAAAAAGAAAATAATTTCATCAATTACAGAAAATGCTTAAGCGTGGAGATCGCAGATTAAGGTAGAAGGTTGTAGTGGAGTGTTCTCGTGCTTTCCGAAGGGTTTAGACTTAGTGGTGTCTGTCGTAGTAGTACTTTTATTCTTGTACAGTCTTTCTTTTGCTTTCTACCACCAATTATTTTTATGGTGTTTCGGTTATTGCACTTTTTGTTGTTATTGTTATTGTCTTGCGAATAAGATATATTTTGTCTCTACTTTTGCCAGTATTATCTTATTCTGGAGAAAAATATGATGCATACTTCGTTATACATAATTTGCAAATTATAGAATTTGTCAGTGCAATTACTTCCCTCTCATGGTCTGTGCCTTTTGTTTTTCCTCTTTAAACTTGTAGCTTCTGAATTCCCTATATGGATAACTTATTGATTCTATATTTATTTTCTATCTATAATCTATATGAATAAAGTCTTGCAAATGATGAGTATGCTTTATTTTTCTTCTATTTTTTGTGTGTTTTTTCTCTATTAGACTTCACCAATCTAATTTTTAT